TTTCCCACTTCATTGGAAAAACACATTCTATCATTGTTAAAGGTATTTCAAAAGTTACGATATGCAAATCTAAAACTACAACTAGAGAAATGTGAACTCATGAAAAAGGAAACAGAGTTCTTAGGCCACATAGTAACTACTACAGGTATTAAACCAAGCCCATAAAAGAAAAGTGCCATTATAAATTTCCCAATACCAAAAACTTCAAAAGAAACTAAATCATCAATCTAGGATTGTGTGGATTTTATCGAAAATGTATACCGGACTTTGCCAATATCGTAAAACCAATGACAATGAAATTAAAGAAAGGCGCCACAATTAATATCAAAGATAAATCTTACATAAAAGCATTTGAAAAAATGAAAATCCTATTTACACCAGACCCCATTTTAATTTATCCGGACCTTAGTAAACCATTGTCTTTAACAACAGTCGCAAGAAATATGGCGATAGGAGCAGTATTGTCAGAAAATCATAAACCAATCTGTTATGCCAGCAGAACTCTTAACAAACACGAAATAAATTACGCTACCATAGAAATACAAGGTGAGTTCCAAATAGTTTTTTCGGCAAAATCAATTTATTTTATTCAAAATAGTCTCCTTCTGCTTTAATACGAGCGAGTGTTTTAGCTCGTTGCCCGGTATGGCCGCCAGTATGCCGGTGCAAGCCTTTTGAATGGCCTCTTTACTTTAATCGGCAAATGCATTTTTCCGAAACGGTAGAAGTCGCACGGTGCCATATCAGGTGTATACGGGGAGTGGTTGATGGTTAAAATGTGAATTTTGGTCAAATAGTCGGACACAAGCGTCGATCGATGAGACGGCTCATTTTCGTGCAACAAACGCCTACTTCCATCTTCGCGATATTCGGGCCTAACACGTCGAATACGGCGCACCAAACGCTTCAAAACTCCAAGGTAGAACAACTTCTTTGTGGACAATACCCTTGGAATCATAAAAACAAATCAGCATTGTCTTCACTTTTGACTTCTCCAGGCGCGATTTTTTGGGTTTCGGCTCGTCCGGCGCCTTCCATCCAGCACTTTGGCGTTTCGTTTCGGGATCATATTGAAAACACCACGTTTCGCCAATCTTGTAAAGGAAGTTCTGGTCTTTTTTTGCCTCTTTAATGATGTCCTTCGAATGTTGAATTCTGAGCAATTTTTGTGACGTCAGTCAATTTGTGCGGAACAAACCGTGCACACACCTCTTGTAAGCCCAAATGTTCGGTGAAAATGCGATAAATCGATGTTTTCAAGATGTTCAATTCTATTTCCATGAATTTCAATTATGATTTCGGCTGATTTTTTATAAATTCACGCACAGTTTCGATGGAATTTTCGGTGATCCCGGATTTTGGTTGGCCCACATGTTCATCATCATTTATGTCCTCACGACCACTTTGAAAACGTTGCACTCTGCTACGCGATAGGCAATCATCGCCATAAACTTGTTTCATCAATTGAAACGTTTCGGTAAAAGTTTTACCAATTTTAAAACAAAATTTAATGTTGGCTCCTTGTTCGAAGCTCATTTTCGCACCGATGACAAAAACATACTAACACTTAAAACGCAATAACATAACTTCCAATAGATGAAATGGCATGAAATTTTTACTGGAAGTCGATAAACGATAGCAGATTCTAACGCACCAGTTGACATATAGATGGCGCCACTAGAGCGCGCTAGATATAAAAGTCCTGTTTACTTTGGAACTCACCTTGTATAACTATTAGCCATCGTATGGGCTTACAAATATTTTAGATCATATTTATTCGGCAGGACTTTTGAAATATTAAGCGATCATAAACCTTTAGTTTGGTTAAACAACATAAAAGAGCCAAATATGAAACTACAAAGATGAAAAATAAAATTAATCAGATATCAGATTAAATATTTGCCAGAAAGAGAAAATTATATAGCTGACGCATGATCCAGGACTAAAATAGAACAAAATATGTTTTCAGATGCTTTTGAAGAAAACATACCAGGAGAAACAGCCAGTAGTGTAAATGAAACAGTCCACAGTGCTCAAGAAGACAATAAAAATTATAGACCATTTAATTATTTTTCCCGACAAATTGAATTAATTAAAGGAATTGAAAACACAACTGTAGAAACACATTACTTTCACAAATTAAAAATTAAAATTATTTATAGAGAAATGACAGAGTCTTTTACTAAAAAGAGTGCAATATATTTCCATAATGACTCAGATTTTCTAACATTCCAAAAAGCTTATGTGGAAATTATAAATGCAAATCATTTGACCAAATAAGTACATCTTGTACGGCAAAACAAGGATGACATACTGACATATGCACACTTCAAAGAAACAATGTTGAAATGACATAAATAACTTTGACACACAAGAATCGAAAAAACCACTAAATGGTGTAGAGAAAAATGTTTTCCCCTGACTATCAAAAACTAGTCCAGAATATAATAAATTAATGTCAAAACAACATGGCTAAAAGGAACTTAGAAGTACCACATTGACCTTTGAACCTACTCCAGAAATTCAAAATATAAGATAAAATTTGGCATGGCTTTTTATATGGTGGGTAATCAACAACAATTCAAAACTTGCTAGTCTAGTAGAAGTAACAAGTAGCTAGAAGCTAAAGAAAACCCACAACAAATTAAAGCAGATAAAGATCCAGCATTTATGTGTATAGCCTTGCCGAATTGGTTAAATTCGGAAGGAGTAAAAATTCAATTAATAGCAATTAAAAATAGTATAGACGTAGAAAGGTTTCATAAAATGGTAAATGGGCAATTTAGAATTATAGAAAGCGAACCAGACATTGAAAGCAGATATACTAAGTTTGAATTAATTCTTTATATTTATAATCTTAAAACCAAACATAATGCTACAAATCCTCAAATACCAGCGGACATATTTATGTATGCAGGAACTCCTGATTACGATACACAAGAAAAGAAAATAAGTAGAATTGAAAAATTAAATAAAAAACGTCATGATTATGGAATAGATACAAAATGTAGACAAGCACCTTTAGTAAAATCTAAATCCACAAATCCATTTAAGAAGACAGGAATCTTGATGAAAATAGACGAAGAACATTTTAAGAAAACAAAAAGGGGAAAAAAGATTATTAACTATAAATCCAAATTAAAAAAGAAGAAAATTAATAAAAGTAATTACGATGATAATTCCAGGCAAACGGGTTTAAAAACTCAATGAAAACAACAATTTTCTCCGTAATATTAGCAACTGCAATTCAACTAACAATTGGGCAGAGCATTGAAATAGATCCCATTAAGGCCCAAAACGGATATCTTGTATTTAAAACCGGATCAATAGAGATCTCGACTAATTATAAATATCATTATCGTTTGGAAGTCTTTTGAAAGAAGCTAGTGAATTTAATGACGTTATCCAAATCAGATATCTAGTAGAGAAACTTAAAAGAGAAATTATTGGAATTACAACAGTAAAACGTAGTAAGAGAGGTCTATTTAATATTATAGGATCAGTTTAAGAATATTTGTTCCGAACATTAGATCAAGATGATAAAGATGAGTTGCAATAAAAAATCAATAATTTGGTAGATACTAGTGTTCAGAACACTGATTTAAATATGATCATCGATGTTATAAACAACGGAATTGAAGTAATTAATAAATTAAAAGAAGATGGAGAAAAGGAGCAACAAACCAGCGTTTTAATATTTAATTTACAACACTTTACAGAATATGGAGAAGATATCGAGATAGGGATGAGCTGACAGGATTAGGTTGATTCAACCCAAAACTATTAAAGCACGATTATTAAAAAAACATGAACCCTGAGAAATTGTTGAAAATTAAAACATCCCCTTGTTGAAAACAGACACAAATGAAATTTTGATTATTTACCATATTCCTTCAGAAATAGTTTAATCTCCCATTTTTGAAATTATTCCTTATCCCGATGAAAATAACAGTATCTTAACAGAAAATATATTCAACAAATATTTCCATGAAGATAAAGTATTTAACAAAGAAACAGGATAAATTTTATTTGATGAATGTAAAATGGAATAATTAGACAAGAAAACATTGAAAGCAAGTATACTAAAACATATAAAAATGTCCTAATTCATTATTTCGAACCAAAAACATTGTTAAATCAAAATTGCATTAATAAAAAAATTTCTATAGTTGGAAGTAACCTCGACCTTAATTGTTCTGTGCAATTAGATGAATTCACTCTTTCAAATACAATGTTAGATTACACATAGAGCGTTCACGTAATTGATAATGTAACAAAGTTAGAACCATTATCTTATATTCAAGCGAAAGAGATAATAGAATCACGAAATAATATAATGTATTCCAAATAATTACTTTAACAACCTTTGTCATCATTATTAGAAGCATTTTAATGTACTTTTTGTGAATATTATAGCATACCAAGATTGTCCGATAAAAACCCGTGTGTATGAGAAACGTAAATACAACCAGCGGCCATAGCTGTGGAACGTATGTGGATTCCATTGACTTTACTTTCGGTAATACCAAAGTGGTGTGCACTCTCTAGCTGCGGCGAATTCGATTCACGGCTCCAGTTAGTCTATTTTATTTTTCTACTGGTTACTTCATTTGGTTTACTTTCAAGTAATTTTTTTTTGTCAACTGTAATTTGTTCACTCCATTTTTTTATCTTTTTAAGCATATTATCCAAGGAGCTGGTTTCAGAACCAAAAAAAGCTGAAGGTCTACCCAAATTTGGCCCGCCCCTTGTTAAGTAAGTTTATTTTTGGGCGAAACTAATTATTATTTGTAAGTATAATTTTTAAAAGACTTCTGGGATTTTGACTTTAAATTCCAAAAATAAAATTTCTTTTATTATAAATAAATCTTATAAACAACGATTACTTTCGCTCACTCGTTTTTATTCTCGTCTCGTTGTATTTTTAAAACTTATTTTTTTCTAATACAATCGCTCTGGTGGAGCCCTCGGAGCCTCCCGAAAAGGCGCTGCAGAAGGCAATGCGGTGCGCAACGAACCTCACCTTCACTAATAAAAAGGCATCACAGACCCCAAATGTTGGCAAGGAGGTGCTAACGATCCCGATAGGACCGGGAGCCCCCGAGCCAAGTTTTTAAAATAAAATAAATTTAAAAAAAATATAGAAAACTAATAAAAGTAAAAATATATTTGCTGCTAAGTGGTGAAAAGGAGCTCAACATGTGCTCTTTTGCTTTTTAAGCAAGCGCTCAAGACATGCTGACATGTGCATTTGTTGCTGCTTAGGCAAGCGCTCAAAAGGTGCTGAACATGTGCTGCATGTATGCTGCTGAGAAAAGCGCTCAAAAGGGTGCTAAAAAAGCACTCAATGCGTGCTTGTTTTTGAGCACTAATGAACCCTATGTTAATTGAAGCACTCATTTTCATACAAATTGTATGAATGGTACTGCAGAGACTTTTATTTAAATAGCCATGTTTGTTTACGTACACAAGAGTACAAATTGTGGTTTAATGTTATTAATATTAATTTGTAACGAATTTTAACCACAAACATAAGTTATAAAAACAAACATCTCTTATTTTTGGTGCCTAGGAAGCTTTCACTCAATTTTTAAATTCTTTAACAGATTTATTTAGCTATTTTTTTAATGCACCAATTGTTGTTTATCACGTTAAAAATTAATATATTTCACAGCTATTTTTTTCCGACACGTGTATTTTTTGGGGATCTTGTATTTTCCATTTTTTTAAATACATTACCTTGTTTTTACTCTCACTGCCCTGCAGTACCATTCAGCGCTTATTGAGCACTCAATCACTGCAAAAAGCTCATCACTGAGCGCTCAATGAGCGCACAATTTGTATGGAACTAAGTGCTTAAATTAACATAGGCATGTCCTAGGGTTCATCAGTTCTCATAAAATAGCACGCATTGAGCGCTTTTTTGAGCACCCTTTTGAGCGCTTTTTTGAGCAGCAGAAAAAGCACACGTTCAGCACATGTTGAGCGCTCGATTAAGCAGCGGAAAAAGCACACATTCAGCACATGTTGAGCGCTCATTCAAGCAGCGAAAAAGCGCACATTCAGCACACGTTGAGCGCTCATTCAAGCAGCGAAAAAGCGCACATTCAGCACACGTTGAGCGCTTAGCAGCAAATAAAATTTCAGTTGTAATTTTTATTTTTTTTTGTTTGTTTTAAAATTTGAGCTCGGGGGTTTCCGGTGTTATCGGGGTCGCTGGCACCTCCTTCTCAGCATCTGGTGCCGGCGTTGCCTTTTTTTTGGTACAACTCAAGTTTTTAACGCACCGCATTGCCTTCTGCAGCGCCTTTTCGGGAGGCTCCGAGGGATCCACCAGGGCGTTTGCATCTAGTATTAGAAAAAAATTAGTTTTAAAAATAAAACAAGACGAGAATAAAAACGAGTGACCGAAAGTAATCGTTATTTGTAAGATTTATTTATAATAAAAGAAATGTTATCTTTGGCATTCAATGTAAAAATCCCAGAAGTCTTTTAAAAATTAAACTTACAAACAATAGTTTTCAGCCTCAACAAAAACTTACTTAATAAGGCACGGGCGAAATTTGGGTAGTCTGAGCCTCTTCTTGTTTTGCCCCCCTCCAAGTTGTGGGACAGAACAAGTTCCTCGGATAATATGCTTAAGATGGAACGACTTAGCCTTCCATTTTTTTATAGAATATAAGAAATATAAAAAAATATCGAGAAGAAATTTGCAAACTTTTGTTTTCGGTCACTTGATTTATTTTATTTTGTTGTATAAAATTATTTATGTATTTTTTTTATTATTTATTAAATTATTTATTTATTTTGCAGATGCGGAAAAAATACCACTTTTCCAGGGACGGAAAATTAGAGATGTTTGAGATTTTTATTTAAATAGCCATGTTCGTTTACTTACACAAAAATAAAAATTGTGCTTTAATGTTATTAATACAAAAAATCATAAGTTATAAAAACAAACATCTCTTATTTTTGGTCCCTAGGAACTTAGCACTCAATAAGATTTTCAAATTTATTTATATGCATCGTTTGTTGTTTTTCACGTCAAAAATTAATATTTTTCACAGCTATTTTTTTCCGCCACGTGTTTTTTTGGGAGTCTTCAATTTTTCATTTTTTCAATATACTTTAACTTGTTTTTACTCCCACTGATTAAATAAATATTGGTCTGCGACAGACTTACCTGGGAATCGTATAGGTATCACTTTTAAACCACTGGTTTATTTTAATTAACTACCTTAATTGCGTGCAATTCTAACTCCTTCACATAAGTAAACCCAAGTGAAAAAGACGAAAAAAGTCGCGTGCCTTCCAGAAAAACAACAAGCAACAACAACAACGGTTCCGCTAATCAGTTGTTGTTCTGTTTTTTTGGCATGTCCCGTTTGGTCTATGCATCTTGCACATAAAAGCAGGGTACCGACTATGCAAATCGGTTTATAAAAATATATTCTTAAAACTTCACATATTATTAAATAATATTAATAAACCTATAAATTTGTTTAAGAAATACAAATATTTTAAAACAGAAACCTTTTATTTTAAATGGTTCTTTTATCATTTACGAACAAATGTCGCATTATTCAAAAGGCAAGGGTGCACAAAAGTCTATATATTTTAGTTGCTGGGCCTCCTTCCCATCACACGCACTTTTCCGTCTGAGACATGGCGAGAGAGGGAGAGCCCAAAATTACTTTTTGTGCGTTCTCTTTGCGGACCCGACTGAGAGCACGTCGCTTTGCCGCCGTTGCGCTCAGCTGTGCCGGCGTCGCTGGCTTCTCTGCCGACGTCGCAGTCGGCTTCGTGATGATTGGGCGCTTAACTCAATTGTGGAACTGCAGGGTGCTTATATAAATATTGGTCTGCGACAGACTTACCTGGGAATCGTATACATACATAGGTATCACTTTAAAACAGTGGTCGGCAGCGGCCTATCTAGTGAGCATAGGGAAGTGTTCTGCCCATCCTCTGCTCGCTCACGTATAACGTACATGTTCGTGTGACTTCGGCATGGGTCTTCGGGTCATTTTATTCTCAACTTCGGGGCGCTTTTTTGTTGCTGCGGCAGAGGATCGCAGTGCAAAGCAGAGAAACGTCTCGCTACAGCACGCCGCGCGCAAACTTCGTGTTTGTTACACTCACACTAATGCAAGGCAAACTTGTGATGGTATGTGTGTGCCGACCACTGCTTTAAAACCACTGGTTTATTTTATTTAACTACGTTCATTGCGGGTAGTTCTAGCTCCTTTACATATGTACATAAGTAAACGCAAGTGAAAAAGACGAAAAAAGGCGCGTGCCTTCCAGAAAAACAACAAGCAACAACAATCACGGTTCCGCTAATCCGTTGTTGTTCTGTTTTTTTGGCAGTTTGGTCTATGCATCTTCCGTTGCACATAAAAGCAGGGTATTTATAGGCATATCCGACTATGCAAATCGTTAAACAAATTATATTTTTAAAACTTCACTTATTTATAAATAATATTAATAAACATATACTCGTACATTTTTTTAATAGAAATACAAGTGGTTTAAGGCCCACAACAATTATTTTAATAGGTTTTAAATACATTTACGATAAAATTACGCGTCATTTAAAAGGCAACGGTGCACAAAAGTCGAGATATTTTAAGGGAACGTTCTCTTTGTTTTGGATCAAAAAATCGATTTTTTTTTTTTGCAAAAATTGAAAGCCACATATCCGTAGAGTATGTGTGTGAAAGGATTTTTCGATACGATGAATAGTTTGTGAATGAGAGCGTCTCGAATACACCTGCGTCACGCGCGCTGCGTACTTTTAAAAAACTTTAAACGCGTTTTTCTCGAAACCATGTTTTCCAAAAAAATTCCGCGTCCACAGCTTTATCCTGTGAACCGATTTGCTTCATGTAAAATTTTTATGAAAGTATATGCTTTTTTATTGGGCACTAAGCTACTCCGGAAATAAACAATAATTTATTTATAATTTTTCAACGTGGTTTAACTGAGAAAAAATGGACGAAAATCGAACTTTAAAATTCGAACATTCATTACGCGGTCAATTTATGGCCGCAATTTGATGCCATTAGGTTAGTACCTTACAAAAGTATATTAACTTTAACTAATGATAACCATTTTTCTATTTGAGTTTACTACAAGAGGCTGCAGGCTCGGAATTTTAGGACGATGTTTGCCGCGCGGAGGCAGACGAAAGCCGCCATTTTGCAGCCGCCATTTTGAATTTCACCATCAAATAAATTTTAAAAAAATCTTGAATAATAAACGAATTCATAAAGCAAAACCCGAAGTTCGTACGCCTTTTCATTATCCCACAAAAAATTGACGAACTTTGCCTTCACTTCGACCAAAACAAAGAGAACGTTCCCTTAATGGCTGGGCCTCTAGCCTTCGCCCGAGTTTTTTGTGCGTTCTCATTTGTGCGTTCTCTTTGCGGACCCCGACTGAGAGCGGGTCTCTTTGCCGCCGTTGCATACAGCTCTGCCGGCGTCGCTGGATGCTCTGCCGACGTCGCAGTCGACTTCGTGATGATTGGGCGCTTATACTCAATTGTGGAACTGCAGGGTAGACATGCCCGTCTCTCCGTCTGTTTGTCTGCTTGTCCGTCCGTATTAACGCTGAGATCTCGAAAACTATTAAAGCTAGGATGTTGGGATTTCATTTGCATATTCTAGAGGTTCTGGGACAGCGCAAGCTTATTTCAGCAGGGTGCCCAGAACGCCATAACCTGTCTTGCGCCGACATTTTATTAAGATTTTTTAAAAGTGTAAGTGCGTTCTTTTTCTGATTATCAATTTCTATCTTTATGCCAACAATTGTTTAAATCTGACCATTCATTACAAATAAATAAAGGAATCGACGCTTGGTGGCCCTGATACAGGGGGTTCAGTGTTGGGAACAGTTGCTTTTCTGCTTGTATATCTCCATCTCCATCGCACTCCTCCTAGCTAAATAAAGGGTATTTAGTAGTCGAGGCTGCCGACTGAACTGATTCCAGTTTCTGAAATATTTTTTACAGGGGGATAACTTTTTTTTTTGGACATTACCTTTTTTAAAGGCCGTGGCAGTTTAAACAATTAAATTCTTTTATTTTGATTTTGCTTGCCTTTTTTGACAGTTTAACTATAGCTAAAATTATAGAACTTTGAAAATAGAACTGCTTAAGCCCAGCTTAACAAATAGGTCACAGGAATGAATGAATTTATTTTTGAAAATTCTTCCATTCGACATGTGTCTTTGGACTGGACGTGGAGGGAATTGTAGGATCGGAAGCTATCAACGACCTCAAGGGTTCGATGGCGCTCAATCAAGCTCGAGCCACGTAGGAGTTTCGGCTATATTTTGGATAGATTGCTCCCATAAGGAGAGCGTGTGCTTTAGTAGTTTGGTCGAGCACATATAAACCAGGATAGGGTTCCATTTTTAATATTAATGCCGGAAAATTGTAAGGATGTTAAGCAACCATGAAACGTGCGTTGAAGTTCCCTTAAGGCTGCTCCAGACTCCTGTGCTATGGGTTGCACATTATAGAGACTTTCCAGGTGACTGATCACCTGCAATCGCTTATTTTCGAAACCCTCAGTTAGGATTTTCCAGATTTAACGAATTTAGTTGCCGACTTATTGCTGGAGTACATTTGTGGATTTTTATACCCTTGCAGAGGGTATATTGATTTCAGTCAGAAGTTTGCAACGCAGTGAAGGAGACGTTTCCGACCCCCATCTAGCCATGTCCGTCTGTCCGTCCGTTTCTACGCAAACTAGTCTCTCAGTTTTAAAGCTATCGGGCTGAAACTTTCCAAAAAGTCTTATGTCTTTTGCATATCTTAAGTCGGAACCGCCGGATCGGACAACTATATCTTATATCTCACATAGGAATAATAGGAAAAACAAATTTAAAAAAATTATATCTTTGCTGTTTTTTAGCATATAACCCCCTAAGCTTGGAAATAACATTTTTTAATTAGTTTTGAATTTCGAATTTAATTTTATCAAAATCGGAAGACTATATCATATAGCTGCCGTAGGAACGGTCGTAAAATTGGTGGAAAAATAATATGAAACAAATTATAGCTTCGGTGTTTTTCAACATATAACCTCCAACGCTTGGAAATAACATTTTTTAATTAGTTCTGAATTTCGATTTTAATTTTATCAAAATCGGACTACTATATCATATAGCTGCCATAGGAACGACCGGAAAATTGGTAGGAAAATAATATGAAACAAATTATAGCTTCGGTGTTTTTTAACATATAGCCTCCTACGCTTGGAAATAACATTTTTTAATTAGTTCTGAATTTCGAATTTAATTTTATCAAAATCGGACGACTATATCATATAGCTGCCATAGGAACGATCGGAAAATTGGTAGGAAAATAATATGAAACAAATTATAGCTTCGGTGTTTTTTGACATATTATCTTATACTATTGGGAATATCATTTTTTTGTGTTTTTAAATTTAATAATTATAGCTGCAAGGGTATATAAGCTTCGGCGCCTGAATTAGGGATGATTCTAATTCGTTGCATCGCCGGAATAGTAGTCGTCTAGGTTTTGTTGTTCGACCGAATCCTTGCCATAATTCTTTATGAGCTGTTGGATCTGTACTTGTAGCTCATTCTGGTTGTCTAGTAATCGATTGTGTAAATCGATTCTTGAGTGACTTATAATGTGATAAGTTACAACTCGTATTTTGGAAAGGAAGAATCTGTGAGGCCGGATAAAGCTTTAAGTCCTGTGAAGCTGGGTTAAGCTGACGATCCTGTGAAGCTGGATCAAGCTGCGCATCCTGTGAAGCTGAATGAAGCTGAGTATCCTGTGAAGCTGAATGAAGCTAGATTTAGCCAAGTATCTTGTGATGCTGAGTATCCTGTGATGCTGAATGAAGCTGTGAATCCTGTGAAGCTTGATAAAGCCTCAAATCCTGTGAAGCTGGGTTAATCTGACGATCTTGTGAAGCTGGATTAAGCTGCATGTCCTGTGAAGCTGGATGAGCTACGATTTCCAGGGCGGGTGGATGTAAAGTGAACTTATCGCTACCTCTCGCCAGTTAGGGGTTCAGCTTTTGGTTGAAAGGGGTTTGCTGGAGTGTGATCCTTTCTTCGTAAAGGATAACGTGGGGGTCACCAACGCTTGCACCTAACCGAAGTAGAGACTTCTCGGCCACGCCGCGGAACATGGAGGTAGTGAGTACTTGTCGCTGGCACGGAAAGGGATGGTTAATGCGTTGCCAGATAACAGACGATGCGGGAACTGCGCTGAGGTTCAGCTGACGTAGGTTAGCTGCCAATTGAGATAGTATAGGTCTACGAGTTCTATTCCCGGAGGTGGAAAGTAGAACCGCGGAGTTATAAGTTGCGTTGTTAACTGATTTATTCTTAAATTGATACATGCTTATATACAACTTGGAACACGGAAGGTTAGTCTAAAGAGTAGTGAAATGAGATGTACACCTATCCCTCGCTTTGCGTCGGGGATACGTTCCAAAAATATACGACGCAAATTGAAACGACGCAAAGTGAATTAGGATTTGCTATAGCAAACCATGTAAAATTCGAAGATGGGTTCCAGGGTTACAAAAATACTACTTTTTAAAAAGAAAATTGAGCAAAGTGATCATTAAAAAAAACCAAAATAACATTTCATACATATAAAAACAAAAAGAAACTAATTCATTTAAAACAAAATAAATGAGAAAAAAATATTAGAATTAATCACTCTCTGACGAGTCTTTAGTGCCTGTTGTCGTAGGCCGGATTTCTTTAAAAAAAAATTGGTCCAATGTTTGCTGAACATTTTTTTTTAAATTATATTAACGCTTCATCCCAAAACAACGCAACATTGAAAATCTAACGACGCACAATGAAAATTAGTTCTAACTAAGAAGCGACGCAAGATCGAAAAAACGCAAAACGAAACGACGCAAAGCGAGGGATAGGTGTATTCTAGAGTAGGTCAGGGAATTTTGATCATGGTATAAGTATGCGTGGTTGGCTCGGCTGACACTGCAAAATGGGCTGACCGCATTGGCGTGTTACTGCGCCGTTGAGTCGGTGAGTAGGTGCTACTAAGCGCATGGTACTGTTCCCAACTTGACTACTGCTTGAGTTGCTGAGTGCTGGTCATGATGAGCAAGCTTGGGTACTTTATATAAAAGAGGTTGAAACATTGCTCAACCATAAATATTATTCGAATCACTATGCAACAACAAGAGAAAACGCTATAGACGATGGCTATTAGATATCCGATACTCAGCTAAAGGGGGTGAGATATGCTTGCAGCAAATCTGCTGTTTTCACTAACACACTTAGCCTATAGCGACACTTACCCTATCGCACGTGGTGTTCAATCTCTATTGAATTTGCAAAATATAGATTATTATTTTGTTATAACTTTTTAATGACTGGTCCGTTTTCAATAATCGGCATTTGGATGGGTATTGATAATAGGAACAAAATCTCATTTAAATTTTTATAAAATATAAAAAAATCTGGGAGGTAGACGGGTATTAGTGTTATGCTCTTTTGTGGGGGTTGGAGTGGACGGGGCACCATGGACGGGGCACTATTAGTCACTAATGTCACTAAGCTAAAGGGAGTGCTAGAGGAATGGAGATATGCTTGAAGCAAATGTGTTCTTTTCACTAGCCTATGGCACAACCTAAGTCCACCTAGCCTATAGCGCTACCTAGGCTATAGCGCCATCTAGCCTATAGCGCCCCTAGCGGATTGGTTGCGCAAGAGTGGAAACAGCTGATTGTCTGCAAGTGGTGTGCAATCTCGATTGAATTTAAAAAACATAGATTATTATTTGGTAGTAACTTTTCAAGGACTGGACCGATCTCAAAATTTGGCATGTAGATGGAAATAGCTAATAAGAACAAAATCTAAATTAAATTTATACAAAATACAAAAATTGTGGCCGCTAGACGGGTTTGAGTGGACTCTGCACACTGCCGAATGAAACTTGCGCTAAGCCGCCTCAAGTGATATTTTGAATAAATCTGTACATATCTATACCTGTCAGAAATTCAAGTTGAAAATGTGTATTTTATTAATATATGTTTTTAACATTGCCTCCTAAGTAAGACCTGGTATCGTATTATAGTGAGGGTCAAGTGAACAAATTTATATACAAATATCTCGGAAATTTTTAAAAATATTATATAAAAGGAACACAAAATATATTTCCAAACAATCTTTTAGAGTGGAACTGGAAAATTGTGACCAAATTTTAAGGGGGTGATCATAGTCTTCCTGACAGCATTTCCTTTCCGTTAAAATACTATAGAACACTTCCCTGGGGGAGGGAATCTAAATATTCATAGGTAAATATGCCCTTCTTACGCATTAGTCGAAATTCTATTTTATTATTGAAAACGACTGCAATATTCAATTGATCACCAACTTAATAATATAAAAAGGTAGTTAAGCTTAATGGCTTAAGTCTGTATATTGAGAAAACCAATTTTAAAACTATTTCCACTTAAACATTATATTTTCTTTGAAACAGAAATGTATTTCAACAGGAATGATTCTTAAATCTTGAATAAATAAATGACAGTCGAATTGGAAAAATTATGGAAAAGTAGTGGTATGAATTGGTTAACCTTATAGCCCAAGTTAAATTTAGAGTGGACTGCAGGTCTCTACTCTTTGATCATCTTAGATCATTCTAATAGAAAATATTTTATGCATGTATTCATCACCCAAGTTAGCTAAATTTTCTATTAATGAATTTACAAATCTTGTTCCAGAATTGTTTCTTGTTTCTAAAACAAAAATGTATCTAGTCTAAGATCAAAAGCACATTTTATATAATAAGCTTATGAATATGGTCTTTAAAATTAAATAATTTGGGGCTCACTTCAAGATTTCTCGGTTCGAGAAAGCATTTAAGGTCCGCGTAGACAACAAATGGAACTTGAAGGTGATGGTGAAGTAAGCTCCAACGTATTATTCTGGGGTTGCGGCATTGAGACCTTCCTACTGCATGGTATCTTGTGTTTCAGGGCGGCTTCCTGGAAAATTTTTACATACATTGCAGAACCATTGAGCCTTCTTTTGATCTTTTTTTTGAGCAGTTATTTGTCTGTTAAATGAAAAATATTAAAGTTTATTTATTTTGCAAATTTAAAATAAACAAGGAAGAACGCTATAGTCGAGTACCTCGACTACCAGATACCCGTTTCTGAGCTTAAGGGACCAAAGGGAAATGGAGATATGCAAGCAGCAAAGCGTCAATTGATATGTATTGACGACACTAACATATTTCAGTTAAAATTTTTTTTAGCATGAAAATTGTGGGCGCCACAGGCCTTGGCAGTTTATGGGCCTTAGGTTGGGCGTGATAAACTTTTTGTTGGATCAATCGATAGGTATAGACGAGACAAAAGTTTTATATCTAGCATCAAAATTGTTGGCGCCACAGGCTTAGGGGGCTTGTGGGCGTTAGAGTGGGCGTGTTATATTCGTGTGCAAGGTTACGGAATCTAAATCTGAAATCCCAATTCTCTATCTTTGATAGTTTCCGAGATATCCGAGTTCATACTGCTAAAGTTAATACAATCAAAACTTGTTGGATGTGATAGAGGTAATATGATATGATGCAGCTACAGAAGGAGGCGATACTTGTACATGTCATCGAATTTTGGCTTATAGAGAGGAGGCACTCAATGTTATAAAAATATATTAAGTCCTAGAGAAAATATTTATAAAAGAGTAATTGAAAAATTGAAACACGTATTCATCTGTGTACGATTGGTGACATGTTTATAACTAACTCATGGGTTGCAGAGAATCTTTCAAAATTTTCCAGGTTAACATTCGTAGGGCGACAGCGTGACACCTTTTATGAATATTAATTGCTGATAATTGGGAAAAAGGGTAAATGATTTCTACTGTCCTATGGATTATGTGTGGTGAGGGCAATTAATCACATTCTTTATGAGCATGATTGGGACATGTTAATGACATGTGAACCCATTAAAATAAGTTAACGTATGGACTATGTTAAGATAACTTGTAACGAACTGATTTTGTATGTCTGCTCGCTACGAGATTCGTGCGGCTAGCTCAGAAGATTGTGTGTTCGTCCCACCAAATTTATATGACGTGATTGCCCGTAGATCAGTGAGAAAACAAAGTGTTCAAATGGTAACAGTGGGATTTATTCTCGTGGTATTGGTACAGCGGGTGTGTGGCTATGCTGGTTTCTGTGTCTCCTTGTTCTGGTTCCGCCGGCTGCTGGTGCTCCTCCTTCTGGCTTCTCGACGCGTTGACTCGTCCTCCTCTGGATCCTGGGTCTCGGGACGCTCGTGGTGGCCGCCTCTGCTTGCTTGCCGACGCGTTGCCTCGGGGTCGCTTGTCGCGCCTTAGACCCGCAGAGAATTCGGCCTTGTGGGCTTAGGGAAGCGTCACCGTTCTCAGACTAGGGTGAACAAGCCTTGCTCTCCAGGCTGACGCCTTTCGAGGCAATACTGTCCCTTGCTCTGTCCCGGACGGTCCCGCTAGGTTCTTGCTCAGTTCGCGCTGACAGTCAAGACTGCCTAGCGGTCCACTTCGCTTTACGCCTAGCGCAGACGAACGTTCCACCCGGCTTCACCCTAATGCGTGACGTCCGCGACGCTCCTGCGCTCCCCAATGAGCTCCGCGCGGCGATGGTAACGTGGCTGCCGGAAATGTCTGCTGGCGTCGCTGTCGACGTCCTCTGCGCTGTCTTCTGGCCAGTATCTCGGTGTTCTGGCGCTCGGGGAGCTGTGCGGTCGCTGCTCGGGAACTTCGCCGGTAATCGCAGGGCTCTCCAGGCTGACGCCTTTCGAAACCACAAATCGATCTACCGCTCGTCCGTCACGCCAGGTCCTGCTTGGTCGGGCAAGGTACGCTGGGTCGCAGACAACTTTCCTCCCAAGCTGACGGCTCTTCGTCGTAGGACTCTTTTGCTTGTCTCTGACAGACCCGCCGGGCGACTCGCCAGGGTGTGGTCGTGACAAAGTTAGAAAACAAACGCCTTGACTTAGCCGCGTGATGCCTTTCAGAACTCAGCCACCTGTGTCTCAATTCGGAGATTCCTGATGTCCTAATCCCGAACGTCTCGACGTGGCGATCTTGCTCCTTCTATGCTTCCCACGGCGCTGCTTCCGACGACTCGCTTGGTTGTAGCTCCCTCGTAGATTACTTGCTTGACTGATTGCTCACTTGGTACTTTGACTGATCTTGAAGGCTTGACTCCTCTTGATCGACTGATCCAGCTGCCAGCGCTCTGCGGCCTTATATAGGGCCTCCAAGCACCGTTATTTCCCTTTTTCGCACGGCCCGCTGGATCTCTCCACTTTGGGTCCAAAGTCCGTGCCTCCTGGATGACCCACTTGTCCTTTATGTACCGCTTCCCATAGATGTTCCGCCCACTGCTGCCGTTCCGCTGATTCCCGTGCCGCTTGTGGCACGCCTGTGTGCCGCTCCACTGCCGAGATGTGGCACTTCCTCTCCCGGTCCAAAGTTCACGGGAGAGTCCAAAGTCCAGTGGCGTTCCGTTATTCCCTTCTGCATACGGCACTCTTGCTCTGCCCGCGAAGTCTCCATTCTCTCTCGATCTCCATCCTTGGTCTCCAATCTCTCTCGCTCTCCTTCATTGGTCTCCAAACTCTCTCGCTCTCCATCCTTGGTCTCCAATCTCTCTCGCTCTCCTTCATTGGTCTCCAAACTCTCTCGCTCTCCATCCTTGGTCTCCAATCTCTCTCGCTCTCCCCGCCGCGCCGTTACTACGCGAATTCGCCGCGTATCTGGTAAGCGGCCGGCCACCTGCTGCTGCTTCTATTTGTGGGGAGTTATTCAACTCCTCACATTCCCCCCTTACTTCGGGAAACATTTAAGACTGGTTCCTACTCTCCGGCGTTTCCTTGCTTATCCTAGCCTTTGAGTCCTTGTGATTCCCGCGGCGCTCCCTCGTTGCTCCCTCGATGCTCCCTCGACGCTCTTAACTTGAGTTTCCACAGCGGGGGTCATCCTCCTCGTAGCAACTTTAAATCTCCCGCGCCGATATTTCCTGTGTTCCCACTGGGACATCGATACTCCTGGGCTATCGATCACCAGCTCGCTGCTCATTGCTGCGTCTCACTCCATTCCGTGTCTCCTCCGCCTGGTCACACCATTCGTGCGTGATCGATATTTATTCGCATATCGATACCGACGGTGCGGCGTTGCCACCTGCTCGTTTGCGATATCTCCACCTTGGCCGATATTTCCATTGTCGTGTGCCCATCGATCGCACTATCGTCCAGTGCCAATCGATCGCCTATCGAGGCGCCCCCTTCCCTGGCTCGTGGTGATTTTGCAACTTTCATACTATGAAATTCATAGGTAAGTTTCTTTTGCATTTCCTTCACTCCTTTCTCATCCTTTCGTCCTCTCTCGCCCTTCACTCGTCCTCTGTTGGCAGCATCTGACTCCACATCGGCAGCTTTTGAGAGCGGTTGCGGAGAGGACTTCGCATTTGCTTCGCAACCATGACAGCCGGTAAGTATTTATGATGTCTTTCTGCTTCCTGCATTAAGCCCCCTTTACATTTCAGGTTGCTGGTGCGGCCCATGCATGCCCCGTTCCCTTTCTTGTTTTTAGTCAACTGTTGGTGTGGTGCGTGTTTCTGTTTTTTTTTTTTTTTTGTGACCAGCTGGCTACGGTGTAGATCTGATTCTGCACCGTCCTCCCCTTTTCCTCGGGTAACAACTAGTCGAGCTCGTCCGGCGCATTCCGTATAGAATCTCCGGATGCTGCGGTGTATGTCTGGACTGCGCGTCTTGTGTTGCTTGTCTCCTTCCGCGCATACTCTCTTCTACGTTACCCGTATCCTTGTGCCGTTTTGTAAGTGTCCCTTCCGCCTGGCGTTATCGCGGATGACTCTGGCAACTGCCCGACGCTGAATCCTGTTGCCTTGCGGTCGGGATCACCATCCATCCCTATCCACGTCCTTGTGCCCTACCCTTATGGTTGACCTTTCTGCGTGGCGTGTGGATGACTCTCGCTTCGGCCTGACGCCTAATCCTGTGGCCTCGCAGTCTGGATCAACGTGTGATCCTTATCCCTGTCCTTGTTCTATCCTGAGTGTCCTTTCCGTGTGGCGTATGGATGACTCTCGCTTCGGCCTGACGCCTAATCCTGCCGCCTCGTACCCGTTGTTAGACATCTGATGTTTCTGCTGTCTGCTCGTTTACTTGTTGCTTGAGCTCGCCAACGTGAACTGTCTTTTCTTTCTTCGACTGTGTGTGGCGAATTTTGCAGATCACTGGAGAGACGAAATCTACAACCTGGTAAGGGCCATCGTACCTCGGGGCTAGTTTTGCAGCGAATCCTTCGGCCGCTTTGGACAGGTGATGTTCCTTGGCCCACACTATGTCGCCCACCGCTGGTGACCATTGCCTCCTTCTCAGATTGTAGTGTCTGGCTTGGTCCTGGGACGCCTTTTCCATATTTCGCCGCACGATCTCGAATACCTCTTTTAGTTTGTTGGCATTTTCCTCAGGGGTCTCCGTAGCTCGTCCAGTGCCTAGGGTTTCCTTATCATATAGGCTGCTGGGTAGACGTGGTTCCCTTCCCTGGGTAAGAAACGCCGGTGTATGGCCAGTGGATTCCGATGTGCTCGTGTTCACTGCTAGCATAATCTCCGGCCACTTCTCGTCCCAGTTTCTCTGGTCCTGCCCTGCGAACTGGGCAATCATGGTCTTGACCGTTCTGTTCGCTCGTTCGGTCGGATTTTCTTGTGGTGTGTATGGTGCAGTGAACTGTTGTCTGATACCCATCTCGGCCAGAAAACTCTTGAAGATACGGCTTGTAAACTGCACTCCGTTGTCCGTTATGACCACCTTCGGGACCCCGTACCTTGCGATTATGCGCTCCCTAAATGCCTTTTTGAGCGACTCTGCCGTCGCACTGCGTAGGGGCACCAGTTCCGTCCATTTCGAAAACCTGTCTATCATGACCAGCAGCATTTGATTCCCGTGCTTAGATCTTGGTAGGGGTCCAACGAAGTCTGCACATACCGTTGCCCATGGTTCCTCCGGCACTTGGGTCAACATCTTCCCAGCCGCCTGCATCTGATTGGGCTTAAACCGCATGCAAATCTCGCATTTTCGTACGTGGGCTCGGGCGTCTCTATGCATGCCTGGCCAGTAGTATCGGGCTGCCAACCGTGCAATTGTCCTTCGGCTTCCTACGTGTCCCGCGGACGGTGCGTCGTGGTTTTCCCTCAACACTGTTTCTCGTAGTGACTTCGGGACGCACATCTTCCATGACGCGACGTCTTCACTGCCTGCTCGGTGAGGTATGTTTCTGTACAGTGTCTCACCATCCATAACATAGTCCGGGTACTTCTGCGGTTGGGTTCTTATCCTTTCGCCCATGTCCTTGATCCAGCTGCACCCTCCTGAAGCTGTAGTTGCCGATGCCTCCTTTAAACCTCGTAGTGTTTCCGGTAGTGGTTGTCTTGATAATGCGTCGGCCACCACGTTTAGCTGACCCTTTCTGTACGCTATCTCAAAGTCGTACTGTTGTAGCTCCAGGGCCCATCTGGCGATCCTTCCTGAAGGGCTTTCGATGCTGTTGAGCCACTTCAGGGCCATGTGGTCGGTTACTACCTTAAAGTGGTAACCTTCCAGATATGGCCTGAGCTTCCGGATCGCCCAGACGATCGCCAAGCACTCCTTCTCCGTTGTCGAGTAGTTCTTCTCCGCGCCGTTCAGTGTTCTGCTCGAGTAGGAGATTACTCTTTCGCCCTTTTCGGTGTCCTGGGTCAGTATCGCTCCGATGCCGTAGTCGCTGGCGTCTGTTTGCAGGACGAAAGTTCTACTGAAGTCCGGGCATGCTAGCACTGGATCTGCCACGAGTCTTGCCTTAACCTCCTCAAACGCCATCTGGTGCTCTGGTGTCCACTCCCACTTACTGCCTTTGCGCAGCAGGTCGTTCAGGGGTTTGACGATTCTGGAAAAATCTGGTACAAACCGGCGGTACCACGACGCTACTCCTAGGTATTGCCGGAGCTCTTTGACAGTCGATGGCGGTTCTAGTTCGGCTATGGCGGCTACTTTTTCTGGATCTGTTCCTATTCCCTCGCTAGTCACTCGATGACCCAGGTACAGCAGCTCCTTTTTGAAGAATTGGCATTTTTCTGGATTCAGCCTCAGATTTGCCTCCTTTAGACGCCGGAACACTTCCTTCAGGTTTCTTTTGTGTTCTTCCAGCGTGCGACCGATCACTATTATGTCATCCTGGTAAGCGAATGCGTGAGGTGACATCTCGGGGCCGATTACTTGGTCCAAGACTCGCTGAAACGTTGCCGACGCCGAGTGAAGTCCGAACGGCATTACCCTCCACTGAAACAGACCTTTGCCTGGTACCGTAAATGCTGTATATTGCCTGCTACTTTCTTCTAGTGGGATCTGCCAGTATCCATCCTTCAGGTCCAAACTGCTGATGTACCGCGCTTCTCTTAGTTGATCTAGGATGTAGTTTATGCGGGGCATTGGGTAGGCATCCTTCACTGACTTCGCGTTGATCTGCCTGAAGTCGACACACAGTCTCCACTTGCCTGTCTTCTTTTTCACCATCACGATGGGGGAGCTGTATGGGCTCTTTGAATGCTCTATGAACCCCATTTGGAGAAGCTCGTCCACCTTTGCGTTGATTTCCCCTTGAATTTTTGGGTTCTTTGGGTAGTATCTCTGCTTGATTGGCTTGTCGTCCTTCATTTTGATCTGGTGTTCTGCCATATTCGATGTTCCCGACATTGTGCTGAAGTCTGCCAGCTCTGTTTCAAGGAACGCTGTAGTATCGTCCAACTCGTTTACTTGTTGAACGACTGCTACTGATAGCTTTTCCTCGAGCCATCCATTGTGTCGGTTCCTGGCTGGTATTATTATTTCGTGTCCAGCACACCTTATCTCGGTTCCGACTTGTTTCAGGAAGTTCCATCCCAACACTAATGGATCCACTACCCCGGGTAAAATCAACAGGCTCATGGTCACTTGTTTGTTGCCGAATTTGACCTCCACCTCGAGCTGCGCATTAATTCCGCCGCACCTTCCATCTGCCAACCTAACTTGCCGTCTCGTCCTTGTAATCTTTCCTAGAGCCGCAATATTGTCCGCCAATTCTTCGCTAACGAAGCTTGCCGTTGCTCCGGTGTCGATTGTGGCTTTGTAGCTTTTCCCACCAATCATCACAGCTGCGGACAACTGCTGCTCCTCCTCGATTAGCTCGCCCGTTAGTTTGGAGAGGTGGCATTGTGCGATCCCCGCTCGCCTCTCTGCGGCTGAGATCGCTGGCCATTTCCCGATCGTTGGCAGCAATCGACGCTTCTAACACCCACCTTGCCGCATATCCAGCAAAACAGCAGCCGCTGGTTACGACATCCTCTAGCCCAGTGTCCGTTCCCACCGCATTTCCGACAGGCCTCCTGCGGGTCTGTGATATGGGTGGCATCTTGTGGCCTCTGTGTGTTGCTTGGTGGCCTCCACAAGGTATTGTTTGGCTGTCTCTGTTGCTGTGGGGGTGGTGCCCAATGGCCTCCGCGTGGTGCGTCTGTTGCCTGCTGTCGTCTGGCTTGGTGTGGTGGTGACCATTGGTCGTTTCCTCGTGTGTCCTGGTTATCTTCCTCCTCGCATCTCCTGCATGTCACCTGTGTTGGTGACGCCGACTTTGTCTTTGAGAACTTGTTCTCCTGTGCGAAGACTTCCCGTTCCTTTTCCAGTTCTTCGTACTCATCGGCTAGGATCATTAGCGTGTCCAGGTCCGACACTTTGTATGCCCTTAGGAAGATCCTTAGACTAGGGGTGCAGTTTTCCTTGATGGTCCTTAGGGTCTCTTTAGCGGAGTAATTAAGTGGCCTCACCATCGTCTGCATGTCGATCATGTAATCCTTGAACGACTCGCTGAAGCCTTGCTTCCTTTGCCGGACCTGGTCCGCCAGCCTGGTGAAGAAATCTCTTGGCAGGAAATATGTGTGGAAACTTTCAATGAATTCTGCCCAAGTTCTCCACTGCTTATTGTTGGCGATGAACCATTTCAAAGCCCTTCCTTTTAGCAACTCCGGCATCGCTCGAGGGATCATATCGAGCTCCAAACCGTACGTGTTGGCGGACCATTCTACCTGCTCCAGGAACTCGAATGGTTTTTCCGCCCCGTCGAACCTGAAAGACCATTCGCGGACCTGCTTAGCGACCTTTGCATAGTCCGACTGGCTTGGTCTCGGGATCAGCGCTGCTGCTTTCTTTTCTTGGCTTGACTCTCTCCTGTGGGCCTCTTTCTGTATGTTGTCAACGCTCAGGCTTGCCACCAGGTTGTCCCCTTCAGCGTTCGTTAACGTAATGCTTGGGCCGGCTCTGTCGTAGTATGTCGCCTCTAGCTCGGCCCAGATGTCGACGAGTTGTGGATCGTTCTCTGTTTCGGAGTAGTATTCCGATAGTGCCTTCCTCATGTCGTCTAGCCTGCCCTCCAGGGCGACGTTGAGCCTCTGTGCGACATGGGCGAAGTCTTCCTTCTTGAGGCGGTAAATCCACTTCTTTCCCATTTTTACTGTGCTATTCTCACTGTTGGGACAATCACGTTGGGCGCCAGATGTAACGAACTGATTTTGTATGTCTGCTCGCTACGAGATTCGTGCGGCTAGCTCAGAAGATTGTGTGTTCGTCCCACCAAATTTATATGACGTGATTGCCCGTAGATCAGTGAGAAAACAAAGTGTTCAAATGGTAACAGTGGGATTTATTCTCGTGGTATTGGTACAGCGGGTGTGTGGCTATGCTGGTTTCTGTGTCTCCTTGTTCTGGTTCCGCCGGCTGCTGGTGCTCCTCCTTCTGGCTTCTCGACGCGTTGACTCGTCCTCCTCTGGATCCTGGGTCTCGGGACGCTCGTGGTGGCCGCCTCTGCTTGCTTGCCGACGCGTTGCCTCGGGGTCGCTTGTCGCGCCTTAGACCCGCAGAGAATTCGGCCTTGTGGGCTTAGGGAAGCGTCACCGTTCTCAGACTAGGGTGAACAAGCCTTGCTCTCCAGGCTGACGCCTTTCGAGGCAATACTGTCCCTTGCTCTGTCCCGGACGGTCCCGCTAGGTTCTTGCTCAGTTCGCGCTGACAGTCAAGACTGCCTAGCGGTCCACTTCGCTTTACGCCTAGCGCAGACGAACGTTCCACCCGGCTTCACCCTAATGCGTGACGTCCGCGACGCTCCTGCGCTCCCCAATGAGCTCCGCGCGGCGATGGTAACGTGGCTGCCGGAAATGTCTGCTGGCGTCGCTGTCGACGTCCTCTGCGCTGTCTTCTGGCCAGTATCTCGGTGTTCTGGCGCTCGGGGAGCTGTGCGGTCGCTGCTCGGGAACTTCGCCGGTAATCGCAGGGCTCTCCAGGCTGACGCCTTTCGAAACCACAAATCGATCTACCGCTCGTCCGTCACGCCAGGTCCTGCTTGGTCGGGCAAGGTACGCTGGGTCGCAGACAACTTTCCTCCCAAGCTGACGGCTCTTCGTCGTAGGACTCTTTTGCTTGTCTCTGACAGACCCGCCGGGCGACTCGCCAGGGTGTGGTCGTGACAAAGTTAGAAAACAAACGCCTTGACTTAGCCGCGTGATGCCTTTCAGAACTCAGCCACCTGTGTCTCAATTCGGAGATTCCTGATGTCCTAATCCCGAACGTCTCGACGTGGCGATCTTGCTCCTTCTATGCTTCCCACGGCGCTGCTTCCGACGACTCGCTTGGTTGTAGCTCCCTCGTAGATTACTTGCTTGACTGATTGCTCACTTGGTACTTTGACTGATCTTGAAGGCTTGACTCCTCTTGATCGACTGATCCAGCTGCCAGCGCTCTGCGGCCTTATATAGGGCCTCCAAGCACCGTTATTTCCCTTTTTCGCACGGCCCGCTGGATCTCTCCACTTTGGGTCCAAAGTCCGTGCCTCCTGGATGACCCACTTGTCCTTTATGTACCGCTTCCCATAGATGTTCCGCCCACTGCTGCCGTTCCGCTGATTCCCGTGCCGCTTGTGGCACGCCTGTGTGCCGCTCCACTGCCGAGATGTGGCACTTCCTCTCCCGGTCCAAAGTTCACGGGAGAGTCCAAAGTCCAGTGGCGTTCCGTTATTCCCTTCTGCATACGGCACTCTTGCTCTGCCCGCGAAGTCTCCATTCTCTCTCGATCTCCATCCTTGGTCTCCAATCTCTCTCGCTCTCCTTCATTGGTCTCCAAACTCTCTCGCTCTCCATCCTTGGTCTCCAATCTCTCTCGCTCTCCTTCATTGGTCTCCAAACTCTCTCGCTCTCCATCCTTGGTCTCCAATCTCTCTCGCTCTCCCCGCCGCGCCGTTACTACGCGAATTCGCCGCGTATCTGGTAAGCGGCCGGCCACCTGCTGCTGCTTCTATTTGTGGGGAGTTATTCAACTCCTCACAAACTTCCTAACAGATCGGCTCGGTCGAGTCGTCTGGTGATCCTGATCGGAAACTTTTCTTTCTACCTTTTAAAAATTTTCCGACTACCTACCTTTTACAAAATTTACTCTACGAGTAACGGATATAAATATATGCTGGGGAATTTGAAAAATTACATAATTTTACCTTAGCGGGGGAAGGCAACTGGTGGCGGTAGATATAGGTTCAAGCACAACTCTCCAATACATCCCAAATATTGTATTATTTTAACTGTATGTATTTACTTATTTTCGTCCGCAGCTACAGAAATTCGTTGCCAGGAGAAGTCCCGTGGAGGGCTGAGCTATGAGGTCATCCTGGCCGAGCCGGCACCCAATGTAGCCGTTCCGAAGCGACCGGTCACCCCCGGCAAGAATGTTAGCGTTGAAGAGATTGACCATAAACTAAAAGCGGCCGAAGAACGTCGGATTGTAAGCTTATAATCTTTTAGTCTCTCTTATTTTGCATTAATATATCGATCCAAGTGAAACAACCATAAGACTTTATAAAATTTAGTTTTTAGAACTTATGCACTGTTTTTATACCCTTGCAGAGGGTATATTGATTTCAGTCAGAAGTTTGCAACGCAGTGAAGGAGACGTTTCCGACCCCATAAAGTATATATATTCTTGATCAGCATGACTAGACGAGTCGATCTAGCCATGTCCGCCTGTCCGTCTGTCCGTCCGTTTCTACGCAAACTAGTCTCTCAGTTTTAAAGCTATCGGGCTGAAACTTTCCAAAAAGTCTTATATCTTTTGCATATCTTAAGTCGGAACCGCCGGATCGGACAACTATATCTTATATCTCACATAGGAATAATAGGAAAAACAAATTAAAAAAAATTATATCTTTGCTGTTTTTTAGCATATAACCTCCTAAGCTTGGAAACAACATTTTTTAGTTAGTTTTGAATTTCGAATTTAATTTTATCAAATCGGAAGACTATATCATATAGCTGCCATTGGAACGATCGGAAAATTGGTAGGAAAATAATATGAAACAAATTATAGCTTCGGTGATTTTTAACATATAACCTCCTACGCTTGGAAATAACATTTTTTAATTAGTTCTGAATTTCGAATTTAATTTTATCAAAACCGAACGACTATATCATATAGCTGCCATAGGAACGATCGGAAAATTGGTAGGAAAATAGTATGAAACAAAGTATAGCTTCGGTTTTTTTTGACATATTATCTTATACTATTGGGAATATAATTTTTTGTTTTTTATAAATTTAATAATTATAGCTGCAAGGGTATATAAGCTTCGGCTTGCCGAAGCTAACTTCCTTTCTTGTTGTAATTAAACTTGCATACGTTCCAGCCGAATGTGTTAAAGACCGCTATTAACAATGTTAATAAATATGCTTAATATAAGAAGGTTTAATTAAGGAGGTTGTAGTATCAATTTTTGTGAGCAAAAATGATTGAGGATTCAACTAAAATAAGGACGTTTCCTTTCTGTGCATGTACTCGTAAAGGCCTTACATATTTTTTTAAGCGGGTCGAACGAGAACTTTTAAAAAATTGTTTAATTGATCAAATGTTTAATTTAAGCTCGCAAATGTCCCTTCTCTGAGTTTTCTGCAGAAAGTAAATACACTCTTAAAAAATATAAATATATAAAAAACATTTAAAGTTTTTTCTTTTGTTTAACAAACAAATAATTCCCTTTTAAAGTCTCTAGAAGCCAAGAAGATGGCTGATATTTCAAACAAGCTGGCTAAAGTTGAAGAGGCCACTCGCAAAAAGGATGAGATCACCAATGAGTTCATATCTCAGACAAAGGAGCAGCTGGAATCAAAAATGGAGCTGCATGTGGAGAAACGAGAGGCCATAATCAGCGATATGAAAGAAAAGCTAAAGGTTAAAAGTTGCATTATAATCCCAAAAAAATATTGTTAATAAACTTTTTTTCAACTTAATGACAGATTCATGCTCAGGAGATCGAAAAGACGCGTGAAACTCTTGAACAGCAGAAGGCCAGTGAGCAGAAGGCAATCGAAGAAAAATTAAAAATTGCCAAGTTCTTGCGCGACGAAAACATCAAAAAAATGTTGGATCGTCTAAAGGAGCATGTGAGTCTGAAATGGGTGCATGGCTTAGATACAGGGACGTTAGGACGCAATTTTTTTTGTTGAAACCACTTTTGACATCATCTCTGTTTAAGCAGCTGTAGCTTTAATAAATTTCAAATTGCTAATGTCTCGTAACTAAATATCTTAACGACGTAAATATCTAGTGACGGTCGGGCCTTTAACAAACAAAAGTTCTGATAGGACTATCATAGTAGACTTCCATATTTTCGTGTACGAGTATAGTAGTCGCCTTCGTACACTCTCCTGGTTCGCTTCGTCACTACGTGGACTGCCGTCCACAGTGATGACTATGTTTTTAAACGGTTGTTGCCAGAAAAATATATATACTATAGGGTCAACTACCACATGTGTTGTCCTAAACCATTTTGTGCGCACTCAAAAAAAAACAAGGAAGAACGCTATAGTTGAGTGCCTCGACTAGCAGATACCCGTTTCTCATCCAAAAAGTGTACACGGGAGATGAAAACATGCAAGCAGCACAGTTACTACATTTTCGAGAAGGTGCCACCTAGCGGGTGTCGGACAGGTTTTAGGGCTATGGGCATTTGTGTATGAATCTCTAGAATCTCCATGCCAAATCCCAATATTGTAGCTTTTATGGTTTCCAAGATCACAGCGTTCATACAGACAGACGAACATGGCTGGATCCTGGTCAAGCATAGATATACTTTAAAGTCGAAAACGCTTCCGTCTATCTGTTACATACTTTCCAACGAATCTGGTATAGCGCGTTAATCTACGAGTAACGGGTATAACAAGGATGAAAGCCATAGTCGAGTGAACTAATTATCAGATACTCAGCTAAAGGGAATGCAAGGGAGATAGAGATATGCATGCTTGTAAACAGCAAAACGCTTTCCTTCTACATACTTTTCCCCCGGTACAATATCAATCAAGAACACCTCTTAGCGAATTTACAAAATACGGGTGTCGGGTTAACAAACAAAAGTCTTTATATAAACTTTTGTGACAAAAATCGAACTGTACCTGTATACCTGTTAAAATGTTATTTTGAAAGTGTTAAAATGAAAAACATATTTTTAAGACATTAATAACATAAGTAGTGAAAAGGTGGACAGGTGTTAGTAGTTAAGTTTTTAAAGAATTTCCTACAAAAGGGGATACTAAGATAGCGTCCCCTTGGAGCATTTTTCTTGTTTAGATAGCTGAATAAGAAATCCTACTTTCAATAAAACGATTGAAATGTAGGTGCTTCATTTCTGTAAAAGAATTCAAATAAAGGGGAGATTGGGGTAAGGATAGTAAGAAAAGTTGGGTTGAACATAGTAGCTATAAATAAAAAGTAATCACATTAAAAGTGGTATCTGTACGTTTCCCAGCGAACCTAGGCATGCATTAAGTTTGTTGGCTCGGTTTCAATTAGTTTATTGATCGGGAAGCCCTTAACTTCGTACCAAAAGTTGGGCTCTCCACATTCTAAAAAATGGCAGATACATGTTGGGAATAGGTAATGCTTACAAGTATGTCGATAGAGTACATGGCTTAGGAGTAGGTTCGAATACAGAAATGTTTCATACAATATGAATGTTTCAATACGAATATATTTCAAGGTTCAATCTTTCAAACACCATATTGGATTGGGAAAGGTACCATCTTGCAGATTGTGCGTCGTATAATATTAAAATATTATATTATATATTTGGGCGTTTGAATATCGACCAGACGAACATCCTCTTTAATGATCTAGTTGACAATGCGTCCAGTCACCCAATTCTGGGGCGGACTATTGTCCTCATGTATTAGAGCAACATTGGAGAAGTCCATTTCGATCGCATCTGAAGCGTGTGTAATCGGGCTGCCACAGGTCCCATGGGCATCACGTTGAAATCGCGTAGGATACGATAATCAGAAGATGACCACGGGTAAGAGCTCTGGGCGAGATAAAGCAGATTTGTACTCCGTTATCGTTGCTGAATGTTTCCAGGTCTGGTTAACTTTGCTGGCTAAAGAGATCTTGCTTGAAGCGGTAAAGTTGGTCACTGGCTCCAGCGAAATTTGTCGCGTTACCACAAAATATGCGACAAGGGCTGCCACGACGAGACACAAAGCGCTTCAACGAAAGAAAGAAAGTATTAGTTGAAAGTTCTAAGACAAGATCTTCTTCTTCGCTTGCTACTGAAATACTCCTTGCGAGTTCAGTGGCGTTATATGTTGGGAGAACTTCTTTCCGTTGCTACCTGCTTTTAAGGCTAGGTAACCAAGGCTAGGTAGCCGGCAAGTCGACCGCTCGTCCAGCAAAGTGATGACACTAGCACGAACAGCATAACTCACCATACAGGGCACCAGTAGGAACCAGGCACAGCTCCTAAAAGCGTTTATGCCTAAAGGCGTTTATAAACATTAGGGTGATCCAATAATCACCCAAGATCTGTATCGACTCATAAGCAGTGTTAACTTGCATGTTGGTTCTATGCAGATGATTGACAATCTTCCAGGGGAATTCATGGTTTTTTGGGAGAAGCAACGGTTAGTGTATGGGGTCCTAACTCAACCCTTGACAAGAAAGCAGAGAATCCTCTTATAGTTTTATCCTTGATTTCTCTTTTCCTGGCGAGCTGTGAGATTTCCTTAGAGAACGAAACTTTTTGAATTGCAACAACGACGTGTTTAAAGGCCTTTTTCAGTTCTGTGGAGGCGATGGATGATGGATAAGAATGTTCTATTGGCTGGAACTCTGTTGAACAGACGAAGGACGTATTCTGGTACCCTCAGAATTCGAGAGACAACTAATCGCTATCTTTGTTTTGTTGTCTGCCGATGTTGTCTGCATGCGAACGAGACTACCTTGCGCTTCTCTAAGAAGAGATTATAAACAAGAAAGGAAGTTTGCTTCGGCAAGCCGAAGCTTATATACCCTTGCAGCTATAATTATTAAATTTAAAAAAACAAAAAATTATATTCCCAATAGTATAAGATAATATGTCAAAAAACACCGAAGCTATAATTTGTTTCATATTATTTTCCTACCAATTTTCCGATCGTTAGCGGTAAAGTTTTCCTGCAAGAAGGTCTGGCCGCAATCCCCGAAAAACTAAGGGCTACATATGCCTTTTTGATTGCCTTGTAACATCAGCCATACATTTGGAACTGGCCGCCGATCTAAACACAGATAATTCCTGCCATGTCTTTGGCGATTCATGTCCGTTCGAGGAAAATGCTCACAGATATTCAGCGATAACGGGACGAATTTTGTTGGTGCCATTAGATGAGATGCAGTTGCATCAACGCAATCTAACACAATCGCTGCCCAATGATGGAATCAAGTGGAGTTTTATAAGTGTGAGTCATCAGTATGTTTCGTTAAATTACATCTGCGTCGAGTTGTGAGAAAAATTGTTCCATCCTTTGAACAAATGCAACCTCTGATTGCTCAGATCAGTGCAGTAGTGAACTCGCGACCGTTATGCTACACACCTGACACAGACCTTAGCTACTTTTCTCCGGCCCACTTTTTAATTGGGCTGACTTATTTGCCGATCATCGTCTGGACTATTGGCAACACATGCAATCGATGTATCAACGATTTTGGAAACGCTGGCACCAAGAGTATTTAACATCCCTGCAGCAACGTCAAAAGTGGAGTAACATCGCAGTTGACAACGTTGTCCTCCCTCCAGCAGCTTGGATACTAGCCCGTGTAGTGGAAGCTCATCATGCACCAAATGCACTTGTACGCGCTGTTAAACTTAAGACGTCTACTGGAGAGAGAACGGGGCCATCACCAAGTTAGCTGTACTGCCTAATTTTGAAACCTTGTTTCAGGGCGGCCCGGAATGTTGATGAACGCACTGCAGCCGTATTTTAGTTTGAATCTTATTCTCCTTTTGGTATATGAAATACTAACATTGCCCTTTTTTAATATATTTTGACGTCACACTTAAGAGACTGTTTGGGACTTAGTGTTAAGACTAGGGTCTAGTCTCTCAACGTTTGGTTGCATTTGCGACGCTTGCTTGAAATGAGCGTCTAGCACCTGCGCTCGGCAATTTAGTTCTGCAACACTCATCCGATGATCAGCTTCCACATGTTTTTTTAAGTTTTTCATGGCCAAAAGTATGGTACCCTTTTTTCTAGTGAAAGGGTAGCTTAACTTTCGTCTAATTCGCCCATTTTATTGCGTCGTAATTACTTTCCAAGTACCGAGTAGTATAGCATTTTCCTACACCATTTTAAAGTCAATTGCAGAAAAGTTGTGTAGCAGGATTGCTGCGTAGTAGCATGTATGTATGTCTATGTTATTATATTGTTGTTGTTGTACGATGCCTCTCACTGTTCTCTGTCTCTCATTCGTTGTCATCGCTCTCACACTCTCCCAATGAGTCGGGGGTTGATGCGGATCGTGACCTGAGAGCGAGAGCAGTTAAACGCCGACCGTAATCCTGAACAGACGGAGTTATAAAATCAAAATAAAATCAAGGAATACATTATACCCCTTAAAAAATCTGAAGTGACCCGATTACGAGTAAATTAACTAAAACGTTAATTCAAAAGCAAATCAAAATGGATTTAAGCAACGCGTCGATTGAACAATCAAAAATGTGGTTGAGTGTGTTCAAGTTATTAACAACCGAAACAAAGAAAGAATTGATCTTGCGTTTAAATAAAATACCAAAGAAAATTCGTGCAAAGTTTGAAGAAATGGCGAAATAAAAAGGAGACAAAGACGGCGCCAAAAGTAAAGGCGAAGACAACGGCGACGAGAATTTCGAAGAAGGCTTCGGAATTATCCAGAATTACGACAAAGAAGGCGGCGACAGGAGTAACGGCAAAGACGGCGACAAAAGTAATGGCAAAGACGACGGCATCCAGAGTTACGACGAAGAAGACGGCGACAAAAGTAACGGCGAAGACGGCGGCACTGAGAATTACGACGGCGAAAAAATTCTAACCAGGGCATAGACGTCTCGTTGGCCAACACAGGTGTTGAGTGAGTTCTCTGGCGAGCCGTGGGCCCTCAA